ATTTAAACCAAAGAAAGGCTGATGGCAAAATTAATTAGAAATATTTAATATTATAAATTATTACTAGGTCAATTATGAAATAAGCAAATTGGTGACACTGACATTGAGTTTTAAAGAGCTTTATAAATAATTACAAAAATCAAATCTTGTGGAGTTCATGCAGTTCGACTGCATGGAATTTTAGACTGAAACATACAAAATTATATGAGTATTGTGGCAAGAGGTTATATGAATTGGTTTCATTATGCTGGATATCTAATATTCTCATTAAGTGTATAGTTGTTTTTCTTACGGTTTTGATACAGATCACCACTTATGCGTCAATTCAGACTTTCCTACGTCAGAATATCAAGCCTTGCACAATAACACAGGCATCAGAACAAAGCTTCTAGCCTTCTGAATTTCATGGCCATCAGTGCTAGAGACTGACTGACACAACCTGGCAACATAATTACACGAAGAGTGCTGCAGACAGCCTTCCAGACTCCGCTTTCAGGTGCATTTCGATTTTAAAGGCTTTACTATTCACCATAACAAAGGAGCTCTCCACTGACATTTTCCATGCAGTCATGCCTGAGCTGGATGCAGGGAAAAATTCCGGAATATCTGTGTAACTGTGTTTTCTCCTGCCATGGGGCTATAAAGTTTGACAACTCATCCAGAAGCATTCTGGGAATGAAAAAAACGGAACTTGGGTTGTGGACTGGACACACGCTTTTTTTTTTCCTTCTTTTTTTTATGTCCACATCACTTCTCAGAAATCCTTCTCTTTGGAAATGGCCCAAGGATTCAAACGCACCGCTTTATCATGCCTCACTTTCATTCGACAAGGTGTTAAAAAACACCTGGGTGACATGAAATTCTGCCTGTGGTATAAAAACAGAACAAACCCAAACTCTAGTCTCTCATATTTTTGGTCACAGAACAATTTCAGTGGAACAATTGTTAGGAAATTATAGGAGAGTTAGGAATGTATGAATAATAAATAATAAATGAATAAATAATCTTTATAACGTATGCAGATTATCAATGGGCCTTGAGCCCTATTATATTGTTAGCCTGTCTGGAGGGAATGAAACAAAAAAGTAAGTGCTATCATTATTTACTCACCCTCATGTCGTTCCAAACCCACAAAGACAAAAGAAGATTTTTTTTGTTATATCTTTACACAAATCTTTCCATACAGTTTCTATGTCTTTTAAAATCAGAAAAGGACCATTAAAGTATCATAAACGTAGGTTTGAAAGCATATGATCGATGGGTGAAATATTTCTTTAACACTGTCATGAGACGTGTTTTTATGTGATGTTCACTCTCTAACTGACAGGAAAAAATCAGGGATAAACGTTTTGATTAAAAGTAATTAGTATCATAAACTGTCTCATATGGGCGATGTTTGTCACCGCATTAATGAGTAATTTTGGAATCATCTCAAAACAGATTTGCTTCTATAAATATGCAAAAAAAAGATCTGGTGCTGGAATTTGACATTTTGAATGTTTTTCTGAGACCTCGCTGCAGTTGTCATGAGTGATGAAATGCGACAGTGGCAATGTTCTCTCCCGCACACAGCTCTCAGACACGCACTCTATCAATCCCAGTAAAAAAAAATGTTTTAATTAAAATCCACTGACATATGATTCACTCTTGGTTTATTGAAACAAAAACATATGTCAGGGTGGATTACAACCTCAAACTTTTCGTATTTTACTTTTTTATGTTTTGGACTGTTTTCACTTGTGAGCTTGATCTGTGCATATTTCTCTCCTGATTCAGACTAAATAACTTTTTCACTGGAGAAAGCAATATTATGGAAAGAGGACTTGATTTTTAGCCAGAAACAATGGTTTGAAGTTAAAAATGTTGTGATTGATTGCAATAATCTATCATTTTTAATTGATGGAGTGGAGTTGTGTTAATTATTTGTGGATTATTGTGATTATTGTTTTATCAGCTGTTTGGATTCTCATGATGGCACCCATTCACTGTAGAGGATCAATTGGTGAGCAAGTAGGAAAATCATCCAAACTTAAATTTCTCCAAACTTGTTTCGATGAAGAAACAAACTCATCTACATCTTGGATGACCTGAGGGTAAGTAAATTTTCAGCAAATTTTCATTTTTGGGTGAACTATTCCATTAATGTGTGCCCTGATTAACCATTGTGATTACCAAACTCAAGCCTATAGAGACCATTTGTAAAAACATTCTTGAAACAAATTACACAGATGCACACAGTGCACACAGATGATATCAGTGGTAGGCCTATATTATTTTGCCAGCACTTGTTTAATGACATCTCCTGAGATCTAAATGGACTCGTTAAGGAAGAGACACAAGCCAAACTAACCACACTAAAAATAATCACAATCAATTTTCTTTTCAAGAACAGACCAATTACTGGATGTCTGTTTTCCACTGTACAACTCACAAACAAGCAGTACAAATATTATGCAATTCAAAGATTCTTTAAGTTACATCAACACAATTGTGCCTTGCATGCTACACTTTTAAAAAGTTACGTAATCTGACTTTGAAACACATGAAGAATCCAACTTCATTCATTCATCACTATGGAAACGGTGGTGACTGTAGCAGAAAGAAACCTGAACTGATGGGTGCAGCGTCTGTGTTTGTGTCATGTGTCCAACTGAACCATATCAAGTTCCTTCACTGGTCCCTGAAGACAGATTCCTGCGGTGCTCTGGCTAGCACAGCTACACATTATTTTCACATTATGAGCTTGCATCTACTCATACCATCTGCTTTGATGCCTTCACAGCATTTCCACACACCATATTGATATTCAACATTGTTGATGTGCAATAGGATCCGATACCTCGCAATATTAAACACAGTGTTCATTTTTTAAATGCATTATGAACTGCATGATTTCCTTCTTGAGATAAGCACACTAATTTCTAGATGATTTGTGTTTATATTGGATAGAACAGTATTGGGACGTAATTAACTAAAAGTGGCATCGCTACAAACTTACGTTTTGTTTTTTTTTTGCGTGACTGTAGCAGAGTAACGTTTCCAGTAACAAGCTAGGGGTGTTCTGCGCAAAAAGCAGTATCCCTTGTTTTTATATTCCGTCACAAATAGCACACTTGAATTACTGTGGCCTTTTTGCCTATTGCGCATACTCAAGAGCGCCCCCTATAGCATTTAAAGTAACGTTAATTCAGATTCATTGTATTGAATCAGTTCGTTAAACGATTTGTGTATTTGAGCAGGTTGAAAAAATATATGCAAATATAAACATATTTTTACTAGTTTTAAAGATTTTAAAATAATTTAATAAAAATTATTTAAAAGTATAATAATGCATAAATAATATAATAAATAAAAAGATCAAAATAAAGAAATTCAAATATTCAAAAAACGATTCACCTTTCCATGTGACATATTTTACATCTTTGAAATGCAAAATATTGAATTAAGTCCTTGATTGTTGCTTTTAACTTGATTATATGAATTACAGAGCTTCTAGTTTTATTAGATACATTTATCTATGCGGTGTTACCTTGGAGGTTTTATTTTGGAGGTATACAGTGGTGGCCAAAATTATTAGAACACTAGTATTTTCACCAGCTAAAAAATAGGTTTTAAATCAGTTATTTCTATCTTTTGCAGTAATGTGTCAGTAGGAAATATCAGTTTACATTTCCAAACATTCATTTTGCCATCAAGTGTAATAATCCAGCAACATCTCCAAGATGCTTCAAGAGATCTACAAAGCTACCTGAAAAACTATGCGCAAAAGCTGCTTTAAACGCAAATGATGGTCACACCAAATGTTGATTTAATTTAGTTAATAGAAGTTAATTGATAAAGAGAATCTATTTATGACATTATTTTTGACAGCATCCTCATTTTACAGCATTTTTACATAAGTGCCTAAAACTTTTAACAGTACTGTAGCTTTGCAGGTATGTTTCTTGAAGCATCTTGGAGACGTTGCCACAGTTCTTCTGGATTGAGTCCGTCTCAGTTTGTTCTGTTTCTTCATGTCACTCCAGACAGACTGATGATGATCAGATCAGATCTCTGTGTGCAGCACTGGCTGCATTAATGGCAAAATGAATGTTTGGAAATGTAAACTGATATTTCCTACTGACCCACTACAGCAAAAGATAGAAATAACTGACTTAAAACCATTTTTTAGCTGCTGAAAATGCTAGTGTTCTAATAATTTTGGCCACCACTGTATTTGCTTTTTCCATTTTATAGATGAGTATGTTATGAGCAAATGACTCCAACTTGTGTTGGAGCATGTGCTGTATCCTCCACACCATATCTACAAAACATTAATTAGTTTTAAACAAGGCAAAGTTTGATGCAATCCACCCATAATCCATAACCATCCATTCTGAGCAGCTAGCAATGCACAGATCTCATTGTTATTCATGGCCATGATCATTTGAGTCTGGCACATAAAAGCCTGCATCACGAATACTTCTTAATCTATCTGCTCTTAACATAAACATTTATATACATAACAGCTTTCTCAGAACTGCACAGAAGCTGCTTCTTTACTATAGTAAATATATGCAGATGGAATTCATGTTCTGCAAAAGTCCCTAATGTAAGGTTACAAGGCAGTGCGTCCTCAAAGCACTGACTCACTGGTGTAGGATGACAGATGAGTGTTCGCTGAATAGAAAGCCATGATCAAACTCCAGGATGAATTCTGGGCAAGCGTACCTCTTTTTTGAACAGTTACACAACTGAACGTCTATGAAGAACCTCACGGCAAAAGCGCAGCAGCTGTGAAACTGTCAAAACACTGTATGCGCTACATCAATATCCGCCTACAAAGGTGGATGTGCTAAGAGATGTCCTTAAACACAAGAATATGTGCAAGTAAATAAACAAGACATTGCAAGAAACAAGCAACGAAGGGCACATTTATAACTAGGACCAGTATGAAATTTCCTATAGTGTCTATAGCTGAGCTCTATTTGACAGCGATATGAAGCATCTCTACCACTCACATTAATGTTCCTGAGTTTCTTCTTGCCCCTCTCTATTCGGCTGAGGAGTCTGTGATGTTCTCTAGGCGTTTGCTGGAGAAGGCGGTCATCGACGGATATGGTCTTCCTAAGAGGCACTCTTTCCCTCCAAGGCTCTGGGACACGACTCTCCGAATCCACACTCCGAGGGAAGCGCTTCACTTCCGACAGTGACGACGTCTCCCCTCGGTCATGGTCACGCAGCACTGACCCTGAAAGAGAGAAACAGACACCTCAGGTGATAACTGACACCCGGAGAGAAAGAAAACACGGCTATTTAAAATGTTCTATTCAGTTTTTTTACCCTTCTTTAAAGGAACACTCCACTATTTTTGAAAATAGGCTCATTTTCCAACTCCCCTAGAGTTAAACACTTGAGTTTTACCGTTTTCGAATCCATTCAGCCGATCTCCGGGTCTGGCGGTAGCACTTTTAGCTGTAGCTTAGCATAGATCATTGAATCTGATTAGACCGTTAGCATCTCGCTCAAAAAAGACCAAAGAGTTTCTATATTTTTCCTATTTAAAACTGCAGCAGGCGCAATGATATTACGCAGCGCCTGAAAATAGGCTTATTGGAAGTTACCTAGCTGGGGCTATTTTCAGGCGCTGCGTAATATCATAGCGCTTGCTGCACCCATGGTACGGCAGCAAAGTGTCGTGATTATTACACCGGAATGAGAGTATAGTTCCTAGCCACATCGGCCTAGAAAATCGCAGCTTTTCATTTTCCGTCGGTCTTAGTACACGATGTAACTACAGAAGAGTCAAGTTTTAAATAGAAAAAATATAGAAACTCTTTGGTCATTTTTGAGCGAGATGCTAACGGTCTAATCAGATTCAATGATCTATGCTAAAGTTGCGATTTTCTAGGCCGATATGGCTAGAAACTATCCTCTCAATTCTCATTCTGATTAAACATCTTCCCTCTGATTCTCTGGTGAGTCATGTCTGTAACAATTTCACCGTAATGAACGCGGTGTAAAAAAAATTAATGACCAACTATTGTACCACATAAAAGTCAGTTGAATGGCTAAAAATTTCACTTTCACCTCAAGTAACATTAAAAGTAAAGTATCTTGAAGATCTAATAGAGCAGTTCTTGTAAACTGGAGGTTTATAATGTAAACACACACATGCACAGTATGTTTCTAGGTTTGTAAGCAAGGTGTTTGGTTTCTCTGTACCATCAGCTGGTGAGCAGCAGTTCTTGCTCTTTATCAATTGAGCAACACATAGAATGGTTTCGTCTCCTCCACTTACAATTAAAACTGCATGAAGACCTTTTATTGTCTTCCTCTCTGAGACTGTTGTGTGGCGAACATCCTCTGAAGTAGACGTCAAATAAACATTTATGAATTCGCTTTTATAACTACGATCCACAGTTTTGCGTCTGCAATGAATTTTAAAGGTGTCCTGACAAATTCTTACACATTTTGATAACCAAGCTCAAATATATAATGCCAATTTGTGAAAACAATCAACAAATCACATAAATGCGGTGAATAGAGATAGTAAACATGGTACATTATTTCAGCAGCAATTAGAGGTAGAGGTACTGATTTTAAAGTAACTCCATAAGGAAAGCAACAGACACTGTACCACAGTACAGTAATGTATCAGACAGTAATACTTTGATTTATGGGTGTTTTTTTCAATGACACACACTTTTATGCCCCAAGGGTTGATTTTTAGTTCTTATTGTTATATAAATGTAAACATTTTATCATGCCATCATCATTTATTTTTTCATACTTTAAAAGACAATTATATGTATATTTTTTATTGTTAATTCTTTTTTTTTTTACCTTTATTTAACCAGAAAAGTTAGCATAGATCATTGAAAATCTCTTTCACAGGAGTGTCCTGGCTAAAATGGGAAGCAGTACAATCAGTTTCACCACAGATTTACACAACACAGACAAACTAAAAACACTTAAAACAATTACATATCATTGAGTCATCTTCCATTTGCCGAATAACTGTTTTGAAATGATCCAAAGATAGCAAATGTTGTAATTTCAATTTCGATTGAAGAAGATTCCAGTCAGTTGGAGCGGCAATACATAAAAGCCTTCTTACCTAATTCAGATCGAACAAAAGGAACAGAGAGAGTATAACAATTTTGTGAAGGAAGTTAATATTTCTCAACAATTTTCTGTTGTATAAAGGCTGATTTATACTTCTGTGTCGGACCTACGCCGTAGCTTACGCATAGACGCACACCCATACGCCGTAGCCTGACGTGCACCTCTCCAAAAATCTAACAGCGCGTCAATTCTACGCAGACCGCAAGTGCTGTGATTGGTCTGCAAGAACAAGGCTACTGCGTAGGTCCGACGCAGAAGTATAAATCAGCCTTAAGGCAGCAAAGATATGAAGGCAACATCCCCAAGATGGCTTTATAAATCATTAAATAGTGCATTTTTCTTCTAATAGACAAAGAAGGCCAACCTACTCTGTTATACAAGGTACAATGATGAGTTGAGGGTTTACAATCTGATATAAATCTTAGAGCACCATGATAAACAGCATCTAAAGAAGAAAGAAGATATGATGGTGCGAACTGATACACCACGTCGCCATAATCAAGTACAGGTAATTCTTATTCTTTTTATTATTATTATTTATAACAATAATCTCGACTTTAAAAAATCTAAATTATTTAAACTCATATTAATTATTTCAATATTAAAAAATGGTGCTGAACTATACTGCCAGCCAATGTAATTTTGTGAAACAGCATGTAAATATTATTAACTTGTGTTTTGGACATATAAAATGCAAGCAAAACATACAGTATAAGTCTATTTTACGCCATAAAGTTTCAAATGTAATTTTTGCCACAGAATGCCATTAAACACAATATATATGTAATGAGGATTCAGTGACGTTGGGATCCATGTGCAGCTTTATTAACAAACCTTAGTTAATTCCTCCTCGATATATGATTTCATGTCTTCAGACTCGGGTTGTGACAGGGGGAAAACTCGGCCTTTGGGGGGATGTGAACCAGATAGAAGGTTGATAGCACAGTCACTTGAACGATGGGGAGGTAGTTGTGATGCTTTAGCTTTGCTGAAAGCCTCGATTAAATCGTGGTACTCCAGTATGTCACAGTGAAGTCGAATCATGTAAAGAATAAAGACCATCTTGCCTGCCTGTGATTGAGTCTCTTGACAGAGGCTTGATTTGTGACAATATATTGTAATTTGAGATTAGGAACATGACAGTGTGTAGAAACACTTCATTTTCAGTTCATTTTCTGAAAGTCTACATAGCCAGAAGAGCCCATATTTGAAGAAACATCCACTACCTATACGTAAACATACCAATACCATGGTATTAAATAATTATCATATTCATGTACCACTGTATTTATATGGCACTCCAAGATACTGCAAGCAATACCATGGTATTCAAGAAAAGCATGGTAGTACAATGGTATTTTCATTTTGAACTGCCAAGAACAATTGAACTAACCCAAGCAGAAAATAATCAGTCAATTTTCTTTCAAAAACAGCCAAATTACTAGACTTCCATGTTCCATTGACAAATCCACAAAAATAATCCAATGAAAACCTCGACTCTCAATGACTCTCATTAGTTACCCAGGTGTCAATCCAAGCGCTACAGCCTTCCATTATGTAATCTCACTTGTCAAACACATAGACTCACTTTGTTAGCGCATTGCTATGGAGATGATGGTGACTGTAGCAGAAAGAAACCTGAACTGATGGGTGCAGCGTCTGTGTTTGTGTCATGTGTCCAACTGAACCATATCAAGTTCCTTCACTGGTCCCTGACGACAGATTCCTGCGGTGCTCTGGCTAGTGCAGCTAGACATTATTTTCACATTATTGGCTCGCATCTACTCATACCATCTGCTTTGATACCTTCACAGCATTTCCACACACCATATTGCTATCTGACACGCAAACGACATTATTAAAACAATACATTATATTGCCAACCTGATCCTGTTTGTTGCATTTAGATATCCACACATCTGTTAGTCGTTGAATCTTTATACTGAATCTTTATATCTTTGTACTGATGAGTCACTAACACAGTATGAGGTTTATAAGATTTAATCCCAGCAGTCTGATGTCAACAAAGACTCAGAACCAAGCAGGGGTGCATTTCCCAAAAGCAACTATGGTCGCAAGTTCCATCATTACCAATAGATTTCAATGGAACTAACTACCATAGTTAGCTAACAATGCTTTTGGGAAACGCACCCCAGGTCTGTGTTATGTGAAGCTGTTATATCATATCACCTACGGTGACACTATTTGTAAACCCTCCTACAGCTTGAGTGAGCGCACTTACAAATCGAATGAGTCTGCAAAGCATTTTTTACAAAACGACCCCACTTTGAAGTCAAACAAGCGATCAAAACCCAAATTATGGGATTGATCCAATTTGTCCAATTACCCATTTTGTGAAAACCACCCATGGATGGACACAAGGACGTCAGCGTGTTGATGAAGCACTGAGGCTGTCTTTCAAGCGCGCTCGAGACTAAAGCATTTGATAAGTGTAATTTAACACCGAGTTCAACTAAATTAAAGACGTGAGAAGAATCTTAAGACCTTTAAACAAACCACAGCTGGTGCTAATGATCCCAGTTTCCATGACAACCATTTGGGTTCCATCTTCGTCATCCTCAAAAGCAAAGGGTAAGAGGTGCTGGCTCTAGGGTCACTGGTCTGTTCATTCATCTGGAAAGCCGTACTTATTGCCAAAAGACACACAGCATGTCATCGAGGGCCATTAGAGGAGGACAACATATCTTTATTAACCATTCTAGGAAAGTTTAGCAACATATTTACTGATAATATGTAGGCTAGTAGGGAGATATGACCAAGAATCATGATCTACTGGGACTTTACATGTGACTGTACAGAACTCAGTACACTGTAAATAATTAATAAACAACTAAATAATAGTTACTTGCCATTTTTTGCAATTATTTGTGAAATTTACTAGTAATTTCTTACTAGTAAGTCCTACACCAATTTTAGTATAGTATGCATGTTAATAAAAAAAACATTTATTTGAAATTAATTGTTTTTTTTTTATTTTTTATTTATCTTTATTTTTTTTATTTTTTTTATTAATTAATTATTATTTATTATTATTATTGAAATTTTTAACATTTTTAATTTAATTTACATGTATTATTTTTAATTTATTATTCTTGTTTCAAT